TACCATCTATACCCACAGAATGGAATTAAATCCACTGAAAGCTTTAAAACACCTGGGGGGTTACTCTGTATTGCGATGCGTAAGAAAAATTGTATCGCATCGCGTAATTGGTACTCTCTAATTCGTTTTCGTATCTCCTTTCGCATCTACTTTACGCAAATGTGGCATCACCGCAATCTGTAATACGAAAACGCATGTCAAACTCGTTCGTTAAACGCAATAACAAAATAGCAAACGCAAATGAAGCGAAACATGTAAATAAGAACAATTAAAGTTTTTATTTACATCTAAATTGATAATTATTTTGGGTGAAATCCAAAAAAAGTTACAGTTGACGACTCAGCACCGTCAGTTCCAAACTTTAGTAGATTTTATGGTGCAACACAGCGATTTGGCAAGGGGCCAGTTGTAGAGTTCAAATGCGAAACGACGCGCCAAAAAATTGTAGAGAAAACTGGATGATGACCTTAATTCAGATGGACCTCCTGTAAGAGATGTCGCTGGTTGGGAAAAAGTAATGTTTTATATTTTATATATAAAATGTGAAACTATGTGTGCATATTTACAGGTTGGTGTTGATAACCACCTTGTCCAAGCAATTTCAACGTCCACTTTTATTGGATTTGGAATTGCTGTGGATCTATTTGGAACGACGAGGTCATTTTTAATAGCGTTTATTAAAAACATAAACGCATCTTTATTGAGACGAACATTTTGTACAAATTTATAAAAATTAAATATTTGAAAACGTTTGACACATTATTCGTACTTCTATTTTCTCTTAAAATTCTTTTTTTTTAGTTGGTTCGTCATTTTTGTTTAAAAAAAACACTCGTACCACATAAAAATATGTTTTTAAATGTTTAATGTTAAAAAAAAAAAACACTCGTACCACATAAAAATATGTTTTTATTTACAATTTTTTGACGTTTCCTTTTGTCATTTTTCGTTATTGTTTACTTTGTGGTGCCAGTGTTGCCCTATTTTGGATTTATTTTGCGAATGCGTTTGCGTGAGCGATACAGAGTACCAAATTGCACTCTTAACGCATTTAGCTTTCGCATCGCACTGGCTTTCGCAACGCAATACAAAGTAACCCCCCTGTTTCAAAAACACAATTAAATTATAAAGTGTACTATTGTCTATCAATATCGCGAAAATCTACATACACATTACCAATACTATTGTTCTAAGTAAAATGTGGATTAAAACATCATCATATAATTATATAATATATAATTTTTTTTATTTATATTTTAGAACATTGTTCCGCCGACAATATCGATTAGTTTACCATACGAGTATAAAAGTAATTATTCAAAAATGTTAAAAGAACTGGAACGACAGCATATTCAGTTGGGTATTAACACTATTTCCATTACCGATACAACGTTGGAAGATGTATTTCTGAAGTAAGTTTTTTGTATTCAACAAGTTATGTTTTTAAAAAATAAAAAATGCAATAATTCTTTATTATTTTAGTTCTGCCCCAAAATTAGATATTGGAGACGAAGTAGATGGAGCTGTTAATTGTCACGGTGAAACTACCGTTAGAGTACCTTATCAACGTTTGGATTCGTTAAAAACAGTAGACTTCATACATCAGTTTGCTGCCATTGCCTATAAAAAATGGTTATTTTTGAAAAACGATTGGATTCTAGCATTGTTTTTGGTATTATGTTTATATATAACTATGTGTTAGGTTTTACTCTTAAACAATAATTATTTTTGCAGATTATCACACCGTTTTTATTGATGACAATAGCTATTATAATAATACATTCATCGACAATTCTTAATTTTGGTACTGGACTTGACCTATCTCTGAATCATTATGAAAATGGCAGAATTTATTTAAGCTCCCCTGAGTATGCTCAGCCGGATGTGAAGAAGTTCGCAGATCTTTTAAAGTCACAAATAGAATCCCACCCCGGAATTGAAGTCGAACATTTAACATTAAATTCCAGTTCAAATATCGAAGATGGTAATAGATTTTTTTTATTATACATACAACCATGGTACAATTATAAAAGGTAACAGCAAATCCCAACTGATTTGATTCCAACGTAATACTAGTGTCAATATGAATATGATGACAAATTATGTTTTTAAAAATCACCCAAAGGGAAAATTGTGAACGCATACAATTTGAAATTGTTCTTTTTTAAATATGATCCCGTATTCAATTTACTCAATCTGCCTGCTGGGAAAGTTTGAGGAAGCAAATCTTTCTTCATTGAATAACTCGAAATTCCCTGCGTTTTCATATGTATTACACATATAAGTGGCAATAGCTCAATTATAGGAAAAATGTGGAAGCGATTAAAATATAAATTTAATAGATTTTCATTCATGTTTTTCAAATTTTATTTTGAGGATTCGAAAATCTTTCATTTTCAAACTAAATATAATTTATTTGTTTGTTTAAATTTTTCTGTCAAATGACGTTGACACTAGTATAACTTACAAAAACAAATTTTCGTGTGGTTGTTTTATCGTTTGTTGTACAACGACACTTGCTGTTACCTTCTATTATTATACCATGACATACAACTAATGTACAAAATACATAACTGACAATCATCAAGCTGATTTAAGTCGTAAAAAGTTCAATCTCAGAAAATGAAGTTAAGCATAATTTGGCATTTCGTATTGTCTACAACAAGGCCTATATAAGGTCGGACAGTAAGCATAGTATAAAGTTTGTTGTTAAACCATATTTTGAAACCTATACGTAGTCCCAAGTTAGATGAGGCGAGTTTACTTGGGGCAAGTGTTTCTTTGCAGGAGAGAGGGGCAAGGGGAATAGAAATGGAAAAAATGGCTTTTGTAGTGTCATTTAGGTAGGTCCTGATTTATATTAGGCGAGTTTACATGCGGCAGTTTTTATCGTTCTCTTTTGAACTTGCTTCATTCGTCTATACAAGGCAATTCGATTTCAAAAATATTTTTTTTACAATTTTCTGGATTGGTATTTTAAATTACTGACATTACAAACAAAATTCACAAAACGAATTGCCAGCAAATTGCCGGTACGAGCAATTTTTTTCAATTTCTATTCCCCTTACCCCTCTCTGACGCCTTACCCCTATAGACGCATGAAGCAAGTTTAAAACTCGCCTAATATAAATCATACAAACGTACAAAATTACGTTAGAAATATTTTGTCAATATTCAATTCAATTTTAATTTATATCGTCTTTTAAAAACACAACTGGGCTATTTTACGATTTTAAAGAACATTTTCAAGTAAATTATCTTACAAAATTATAGATTGTGTTGTGTTTTTTATTTAAAGGCGAAACAATTAGTTTTCGCCTTGGCAAAAAAAAATTTACGTTAAACTTAAGCTTTCTCTGTGAATTCGCTTACTGGCCGACCTTATATAGGCCTTGGTCTACAATTTGTTGTCCAGAAGTTTTTGTTCAATTAAAAAAAGGCGTCGTTTGTCATTTATGTTGGTTGTATGTAAATTAATATTTACAAAAAGCAATCATAAAGTATAATTATTTGATTAATATTGTGTGTTTTTATTTTGCAGAATTAATTGATATAATGAGAAAAGACTTTTATAATTTTCAACAGAACGCTATCGGAACTATTCAAGTAGATGGCGAAAGTTCTCCCGTTGTGACAATTTTATACTCTTCAAATATGATTCATAGCTCTGCAATTCTGACAAATTTAGTGGACAATGTAATATATATGTGGGCCACAAATGAGAACTATGAAATATTAAAGACAATGTATGCACCAGTTGCCGTGTAAGTATTGTATAGCATTGAAATATAACGGAAATTTATACAAAGGTCTCAAATATTTAGACAAAACTCATCGCCTGGCTCCCTACGATTAGCGTATTATGCAACATTTGTGCCCATGGGTAAGGACAAAATGTGCTTTTTTGTTTCTGAATTTTATTTCATTTAGAAACCTTTAGGTGTATTTATGATGATGTTCTACTTCGGTATGCTGCCATTTAAGGAAAATAGGACTGGATTCAAGCGATTACAAGCAACATCGCCATATGTTTATTGGTGCAATAGTCTAATTATCGACTTAATTTTATTGCTGATTGTTTGCTTGGGTCTCTATGCCTATCAAATACTAATAATGCCAGTTGAACTGTATAATACGAATGACTTAAATAGCATTATGACGGCAATATTTTTTTATGGCCTAACATATTTGCCACTGCTATATAGTTTAACAAATATCGTTACCACTATGTCTGCTTTGTCTACTTGTTTAGTTACACTTTATTATATATCAAGTAAGTGTTTCTTTCGTATTTGTCTATAAAACTGTTGTTGACGTCTTTACTTACTTTTAGTCATACCCACATTTATAATATCAACATCTGTTGGAGATATGATAAAGTACGAAAACTACATAACATTTCTACGTGTTTTGCCCGATTTTAATTTGTGCCACCAATTACGTGTTATTAATGAACGTTTTATTAATAATCGAGCGGACCACATACCAGAAGACATTCGCAACGAACTGAATAACAAAAGTTTCCTTCAGTTGGGCACTTTTTACATTTACGTTTTCCTGCTTTTTCCTATCCTTATGGTATGAAGTGACACAATGTTATATATATTTAATTTATTTCATATTTTGGTAACCAATCTAATATTTAACAACAACATAAACTTCATTGGTTTTACTTTTAGTGTGTGCTCCTATTTGTGGTGGAGAACAATAGACGTCGCCACAAAATCAGCAAAGTATTTAGGATACCCACGTTTAAAACCAAACCTCTAAGAGATAACAATGACACCGAACAAGACAGATTTATACAAGAAGAAAAATCTACTGTTGAAAAAATTATAAAAGGTAATTAAAATATATATATATATATATACATTTGTGGTCACGTAATTAAAACATTAACTGTGGCAAAATTCAGAACATTTATCTAAGTGTTGAAATTGATGTGGCCTTAAACATTTTGTGGTTTTTTAATTTATTGCAGTTTTTTGAAAATATTTTTTTTTTTCGATTTGATGGGTCTTTGTGGTGAGTTCTTCGCGTACGTTTATCAATTCCATACGCAGCTTATCGGCTTGTTCCTTTTCTTCTTGCATTAGTTTCTTGGCTGATTCGGTTTGACGTTTCAAATCGTTGGTTGTTTCACGGAAACGATCCTCTTCCTCTTGGAATCTTCTACGTTGGGCAGATAACTCCCGTACGGTTTCATCCAAACGTTGCTCAAGACGCGCCTTGCCTTCTGTCTCAGATCTTTCCAAATTGGCCTTAATCAATTCCAAATTATTAAGCAACAAAGTTTGACTTTGTTGTTCACGATGGTAGGCTTCCTTTTCGGCCTGCAGGCGACCCACTGAATCCTTGAGTATACGATTTTCATGTCTAACACGACTGGCTTCGGATTCTGCGGCAGATTGTTGGCGTTGGCATTTCATTATCTCATCCTTGAGATAGAGTACCGTCTTTTCATGTTTCACAATGGTATTCTCGTAGTTCTTATTACGATCTTCCAAAGCAGTAATTTGCTGTTTATATGTGGCAATGTTCTTTTGCTGCAGTTTAATCTGTTCCTTGGTATATTCCAACGAAGACATCAATTTACAATTGGTTGAGGTTAATTCACGAACTTCCGAACGCATCGAATCAAATTGTTCATTGAGCAATTTCTCGTTATTCTTCTTTTCCTTGGAGTAGTATTCATATTGTTCCTTCAGTGTCTTATATTGTTCCTTGACTTCATGTAGCTGTTGTTCCAAATCCTTAATGCGTTTCTCTTGTTCTTTGCTTCCCGCTCGGGAACTCTTGTTCATGGTTGTTGATTGTCCAGTGGCATTCATGGATTCATTGCCATCATCATCCTGCATTTGTTCCTCATCATTATCGCTAATATCATCAACTATCGAGGTGGATTGTTTATTCAATTTCCTTTGCAATTCAAAGTACAATTTCTTGTACCGTTCACACTTCGAAACCAAAGTGGCTACAGTATTTTTTTGCTGATTCAAGGTGTCTTGCATGCTTTGGAACTTGGCAGCATAATTTTCCAATTTCTCTTGATAGGAAGCTTCGTCTATTTCCTGTTTAAGGGTTTCAGCCTCTTCCAGTTTGGTACTCAAGTCCCTTACCAATAGCAACAACTTCTGATTATTCTCCTGCAGTTCGGTGATGTTGTTGAAGGTAACCAATTTCTTGGAAATAACTTCATCAGTGGTACTAAGATTGCCGCAAGAACCACTCATATAAGCACCCTCCGAGGTGAGACCAATACGCAATTGCTCCACTTCCTTGAGTAGATAACACACCTGGCGACTAAGATCAGTTTGGGAATGTTTCAATTTACGATTCTCTCTATCCATGTGGCTTATCTTGGCATGAGCCTCAACCAACAATTCTTCCAAATCTGTTTTCTTGGCTAACATTTCATCTCTTTGTTGGGCCAAAATGTTATTCGTCTCCAACAATTTCTCACATTCTAATTCCTGTTTCTTGACCATGGGAGCATTTTCATTCAACTCACTTAATATGGTCTTGAGCTGCAAATTCAAACGTGCCAATTCACGTTTCTGCAATTCACATTCCTCACTGGTCTTTACATACAAGGAATACAACTCGGTCAAAGACATATCGGCACGTATGAGTCGTGATGCCACAGCAGTGGGTGCCAATTTCGAAATGGCATTCTCCACACTTTCATTTTTCAATTCCTTGAGTAATTCATTGGCATGTTTGATTTCTTCCTTTAGCTCGTCGATATTCTTCTGTTTCTCATCCAATTCCTGTTCATGTCGCAACTGGGTGGCCTTGAAGTTAGTTTCCAGCTCCCCATATTGATCACTTGCCTCAGCCAACATTCTCTTCAAATCGGATATGGCTGTTGTCAATTCGGTACGCTCCATTTCGGTATCTTCACAATTACTCTTATAGAGATCAGCCAATTTGGTCTTAGCATCCAATTCCTTCTTGTAGTAGTCCATCATCTTCTGAGCCTCCTCGTTTTGGGCCAAGATTTTCTGGGACAACTCCTGGACATTTTGCGTTAAACGCTCTATCGTCTCCTTGTATTGGGTACATTGGATTTGTACAATTTTCAATTCTTCAGTCTTTTCCGAGAGACGTGCCTCCAGCTGCATACTGTTCATGGTATTTTCCCGACGTATATTCTGCAGTTCGGAAATGTTACGATTCAAATCCTGTGTTAGATTTTGTATCTGTTTGTGCAACATATCACGTTCTTGTTCCATACGGCGTTCTTTGAAATCCAGCGTAACTTCTTTGCTTTCGATTTCATCGACACGGGCCAGCGCTTCGCATTTTGCTGCAATTGCTGACTTCAATTGTTGTTGATATGCTTTAAGATCCTGTTGCAGACGTTCAATTTCACTATTATGACGTTCGATCACCTTCAACAAATGATCACGTTCATCGCATACGGCTTTTTTGTCATTGCTAGACCTCGGATTTTTGCATATTTTTTATGCTTTATCCGATTGGACTCAAATTTTGTATTTAGGCGTTTCATGCTTTAATTGATCGATATTTGGGGTCATGTCAAAATGATGCAAAAAATATGCAAAAAATATGCAAAATATATGCAAAAAATATGCAAAATATATGCAAAAAATATGCAAAATATGCAAAAAATATGCAAAATATGCAAAAAATATGCAAAATATGCAAAAAATATGCAAAATATGCAAAAAATATGCAAAATATGCAAAAATATGCAAAATATGCAAAAAATATGCACGGTATGCTAGGTCGATATGCGATAAATATATGCAAAAAATATACAAAATATGCATTGTCGATATGCAAAATATGCAAAATATGCAAAAATATGCAAAATATGCAAAATATGCAAAATATGCAAAATATATGCAAAATATGCAAAAATATGCAAAATATGCAAACATATGCAAAATATGCAAAAATATGCAAAATATGCAAACATATGCAAAATATGCAAAAATATGCAAAATATGCAAAAATATGCAAAATATGCAAAATATGCAAAAATATGCAAAATATGCAAAAATATGCAAAATATGCAGAAATATGCAAAATATGCAAAAATATGCAAAATATGCAAAAATATGCAAAATATGCAAACATATGCAAAATATGCAAAAATATGCAAACATACATATGCAAAATATGCAAAAATATGCAAAAATATGCAAACATATGCAAAATATGCAAAAATATGCAAAAACATATGCAAAATATATGCACGGTATGCTAGAATATTAAAGATAGAACTTTGAAATTTTGCACATATATTATTATTACTCCTAGGATGTTTGGTATTGGAAATGGGATATATCGGTCCACGTTTTAGTATATCGCCATATAACGGTTATATATGTTTGCATGTTTTATACATATATTTAGCAAATTTTTCATAATGCCCCAAAAATCTAACAGTTGATCCATGAAACGCATACATACACAATTAGATTTCTATAGGTTAAAAATAAAGAAAGCACACAAATTCGAAAACTACCCTGAATTTTTTTTTTTTTTTTTTTGATTAAAATGATTGCATATGTGAAATATGTTGCTCATATTTGCACATATTTTGCATATTTTTGCCTATATTTTTCATATTTTTTGCATATTTCTCGCATATCGACCTAGCATACCGTGCATATTTTTTTGCATATTTTGCATATATTTTGCATATGTTTGCATATTTTGCATATATTTGCATATTTTTCCATATTTTGCATAGTTTTGCATATTCTGCATATTTTTGCAAATTTTGCATATTTTGCATATTTTTCCATATTTTGCATATATTTGCATATTTTTCCATATTTTGCATAGTTTTGCATATTCTGCATATTTTTGCAAATTTTGCATATTTTTGCATATTTTGCATATTTGCATTTTTTGCATATATTTTGCATATTTTTCCATATTTTGCATATATTTGCATATTTTTCCATATTTTGCATATTCTGCATATTTTTGCAAATTTTGCATATTTTTGCATATTTATAGCATATCGACCTAGCATACCGTGCATATTTTTTGCATATATTTTGCATATTTATCGCATATCGACCTAGCATACCGTGCATATTTTTTGCATATTTTGCATATTTTTGCATATTTTAGCATATATTTTGGATATTTTATGCATATATTTTGCATATTTATTGCATATCGACCTAGCATATTTTGCATATTTTGCATATTTTGCATATTTTTTGCATATTTTGCATATATTTTGCATATTTTGCATATTTTTTGCATATTTTGCATATTTTTTGCATATTTTGCATATTTTTTGCATATCTCGTGCATATGCAAAATATGCAAATATGCAAAAAATTAAAAAATATGAACCCTTCAAATAATTCTAAATCCTTTGAAACGAATTTGTGTCCAATCAGAATTTCGCAAAATATCTTCATTATTAAAAAATATGCAAATATGCAAAATTTAACTTCATAGTCTTGTATTTGGGCTTGCAATTCATCCGTTTTTAATTCATAATCGTGTAGTCGATTTGCAGCTGCTTTATCCTTGTAATATTCATCGAAGAACTCATCTAGATATTTCTTCAATTTGTCTTGTACATTTTTCGGTGTCTGTTCCAATTCCTCCTGTGTAAGTATATTTGTTAATACTTCTTGCGGACCGCCTAGATCCATTGCAGTTGTCATGTTGGCACACAATATGTTGTTGCGGAAATGTTTATGGAATGAAATACTTTCAATTAAATTATATATTTTCGCTTCTTTTCTTTTCGATTGGACAATAAACGACGGAGCTTAGCTTCCTTTTGTTTCAGATAAAAACGCGACTACACGATGAGGATTTTTTTGCAAACTGATTTTTTTTTTTAAAAAAGAACTTATTAAATTTGCTAAATTAAGTAAACTTAGCACCAATAAAACCATTTACGAATAAAAATTAAAAAAAAAATCTGTAAAATCTATCAAAATTGGCAACAAATTGTACAGTACACCTAACATTCGGAAAATTACGGAATTAATATATAAAATAAAGGTTCAAATTGCTAGAATTAGTAGAAAACTATAAATAATTCCTAAAATAAATAAATATTTGAAATAAAGACTCAAAAGTTGGGAATTCACCTAAAGGAATGATGCGATCAAAAATTTTGTTGTGTGCCACAAACTATACTGGTCAATATAGGCGTTTATCTCTGTTTGTTCTGTTGTGACTGATATATTTTTTGAGTAGTTCCGATCCCTAAATTATTAAATTCCCAATTAACAATAAATATGTTAAGAAAGCTAAGTAGTTCAGACCCTCACATAAATTGTATTGCCCAATTAATGTTAATATTTAAGAAGTTTGAGTAGATTCAATCCCTCCCTTTTACATTAATTTTAGTTCTGTTATTATTAATTGGGTGCTAACAAACCCAAATAGTACAAAAAATATTTTTAAATTTTATACATTTATATAATAATATTGTTCATCACTATTGTTCATTTGCTACTCGAGTTAAGACGTGTTTTTTTCTGATTAGCAAGTGTCGTTCGCATTCACAGTATCACACAGTTATTGTTAAATATCATAAAACAAAAACAAAATTAAACGTTCTCGCGGAGAAGACGGCGTTACTCATGGCCCCAGCATGAGTAAGAAAATCAAAACTATTTTCACCCTCTGCAAACGATCGATGATGATAGTGACAATGTTGGAGAAGAAAAAATTATCGATGACTCGATAAAAAATGTAAGAATACCTCCAATAACACTTCTCAAGTGCAAAACTGAACAGTTGCATGAAATGTGCAGAATTTTAAAAGTAACGGACTATTCCATCAAAAAAATATCAATTGGACTTAAACTGCATTGCGTCAAGGAAGAGGATTTTAAATTGGTCTGCGAAAGAGCATCACCGCAATTTAATTTCGAATTTTTTACTTATGGCACTAAAGACGAGAAGCTATTCTTTTGGATCTAGAAAAAAGGGGTCCTCAAAAAATTAAAAGCTAGCTATTAGCAAAAGGCCTGAAATGCACTGATGTGAAACTCGTTACTAGAAAGCAAAATAACGATGAGAAAGTTATCTATGTTGTCTACTTTGAGAGAAAGTCAATAACATTGAAAGAGCTTAATGAACTCCATTCAGCTATTGAGTATATGAAAGTGAAATGGGTGTACCAAAAACCGAATCAATCGAAACTCACCCAGTGTCAGAACTGTCAAATGCTCGGACATGGATCCAGTAGGTGCAATGTTAAATCGTTCTGCGCAAATGCTGCAGGAAATCATATTACAGGAAACTGTAATGAAAATATTTTAAAATGTGCAAATTGTGGTGGCAACCTCTACTCAATGTCCCAATAGATTAATATAAATTGAAATAAGAGATAGAATGAAGCCGAAAAAGAAACGAATATTCCTTTTCAAACAAATTATTCAACGTAACAGAACTATACAATACATTTCATAACAAACAAAATCAAGTATTACCTCCTGACAATATTTGGGCAAATATTAAACAATTAAAAATTTTAACATTCGAATTAATTTCTAAATTAAGAAATTTTAAAACAAAACTTGACCTGTGGGTCTATTCAGTAACTTTTAACAACTATCGATATTGTTTAAATTTCTTTTGTTATTGTAAAAACAACAAAACAAACTAATGAAATTGTTGTAGAATAAACAATGAGTAATGTTGTTAAAAAGTTACAGAATAGGCCTGCTGTTTGATGTCATAACTGACATTGCTTTTAAATTTCTAAATTGAGCAATAACTTAAAAATAATTTCCTGGGATGCCAGAGGCGTAAGGAATTAACAAGAATAACTTATTCAATTTTGAAACATAAATGAGATTGACATTTGTCTTATATGTGAAACATGGCTAAATTCCAGTATTTCTATCAAGAACCAATTCTTCACATGCTATCGCAATGATCGCCGTGATAGAAGGGTGGAGGCGTTGCTGTATTAATTAAAAGAAATATCCAATATAAGATGCTAAAACCTCTAAATACAAAACTTATTGAAAATATTGGTATTCAGTAGGTCTATTCTGTAACTTTTAACAACATTCGATATTGTTTTATTTTTTTTTTGTTATTGTAAAAACAACAAAACAAACAAATGAAATTGTTGTAAAATGAACAATGTCGAATGTTGTTAAAAAGTTACAGAATAGGCCTACAGGTTTATTTAAATAATACTGCAATAGAAATATATGCTTGTTATTTCCCGGGAGGTTCACGAAATTTGCAACGAAAAGAACACTTTTTATCGGATATTCAAAAAATGACAAATACTAAAAACATCATCCTTGGAGGAGATTTTAACTGCAGACACCAAAATTGGAGATGCGAAGAAGTAATTTTTGGGGAAATCTACTCCAAGACAAGATTCAAACCAGTCCATTCGAGCTTATATACCCGCAAGATGTTACTTATATACCTGCAGACCCTAGAAGACAAGCATCTACATTGGATATATTACTGACTGACATCCCAAATTATATATGCTCTGTAAAAACAATAAATAATTTATCATCTGACCTTCTCCCAATTAAAGTAGAGATAAACAGCTCCATTGATAAAACTGAACATTCTTTCTACAATTTCAAGAAAGCCAAATGGAGTCGATTTAAATCGTACGTTAGCAGGGAACTAAAATTAAACAATTTGGATGACACAACTGAATTAAATATATATTATTTATTAAACAATTTCACCAACATTATCGACGATTCCACGACAGAGGGGTCTACGATCCGAAACGACCCGAGTCTTACTCGGCCAACGTCTGTCACCTCAGCCCATTGTGTAAAAGCAATACAACAACAACAACAACGAGGCTATTGATGTTAGCTTTCCGAAGTGTAAATATAAATATATAAATATAAATAATAAGTTTTTGCAAAATAGTCAGGCTTAATCCCAGTTTGTTGTTTTTATATAAAAAAAACAACTATTTATTAGTGGGGAATGTATGGCATTGTCCGCCGAGGGGTAAGGCAGGGAAGACTATAGTTTCGGATCTCGCCACTGATCCTCATCAGTTCCCTTAGTTTTTTGTTGGGATATTCTCCCCAGAAGCTATCAATAGCTTCTTTACAAAAAACCTTTCAAACCCAAATGTCTCTTGTGACAATTCGAAGTTCTTACGTTACCAGCGATACGACCCCAATGAGAAGTTCGTTTCGTTGGCGCCTGACTTCGTGGTCAACAAGGCATTTACAGACAACTACAATACATTTCCCACTGCTATGTGTCGTCACTTTGTGACGAATGCACATAACGTTGTTGTTGGTATTGCTAGTTAAAGCAATAAACCAAACAGTATGGCCGTGCCTCGTCTACAACTTCAGTAGTGTTTGGCGGGTTATTTGGGATACCATTTGTATTTTGTTTTTGCAAAATAGTCAGGCTTAATCCCAGTTTGTTGTTTTTATAAAAAAAAAAACATTGCCATACATTCCCCACTAATAAATAGTGTTTTTTTTTATAAAAACAACAAACTGGGATTAAGCCTGACTATTTTGCAAAAACAAAATACAAATGATAGATAGACACCAAATAAATGTACTCAATAAAAAGATAAATATGGAATTATCCGAATTTCGAAACAAAAATTGGAATAAAACACTAACAGGGTTGAAAAAAGCCTCATCTCCATTCTGGAAAATATCAAAAGTGTTGAAGAAAAGGAATAATATTATACCACCACTAAAATCGCAGAGGAGGAAAAATGTGAGGTTCTAGCAGAAACGTTTCTTGAAAACCATTCTATTTCTCAATCACTCATTGATATAAATACAACGCTTGAAGTAAACCGTACTGTCGTCTACATAAATGCGTCTTGGCCTGAACCATCAAGTCTACAGCTAAGTTTAATTAAAAAATTAAAAAAAAACAAAAAGTCCCCTGGTGTCGATGGAATAAATATTAAATGCTTAAAAATTTTACCAATAAATGAATTTAAATACCTAACAAAAATAATGAATGATTGTTTAAAACGGTGCTATTTTCCGAGAAAATGGAACTTTCTAAAACAGTTCCTATTCACAAAATTAGCAAACCTTAAGGGTCCCATACACTATACATCATGCCGTACAGCATTTATAATAGTATGTGTTATTTTTTGAAAGTTTATTTATGTATGTGTGACACACACAATGCATGAAGAAAATCAAAATAGTTATGATTTTGAAAATGAACCCCTATCAATCTGGTGAATAATATTCAAAGTTGTCAGTAAATAATTTTGTGTACAAAAATAATAAAATTGTGACATAAAAAACAACTGAATTTTCAAAATGCAATTTTTGGGACAAAAATCGATTTTTTGGAATAGTGATTGAATAGTTTGCCATACACTAGTCAATCTCACATATACAAAAAGGGGTTCATCGGCATGGCGGCATGATTTATAGTGTATGGGGCCCTTTATGATGATCCAAAATCATACAGACCAATTAGCTTACTACCATCTGTCAGCAAAATTTTCGAAAAAATAATTAAAGAAAAATTGAACGGTTTTATTGAGGGGCACGAGATATTGCCACAACAACAATATGGTTTTCGTAGACATCTGAACACTTGTCACCCTCTCGTTAAAATCAGGAATATGGTTAAAACCAATTTTAATAAATCAGAGTCTACAGGCATGGTACTATTAGATATCAAAGCTGCGTTTGGTGGAGTATGGCATAATGGCTTA